ATGTGCTTGGGAAGCCTGCTTGCCCTCACGTACCCCCGAAACATGTGATCCTATTACATAAAGCTATAGCCTTTTAATCTCTAAAATTAACCAAAGAGAGGTAAATATAGGATTCCTTACTAGGAGTATTTATCTCCTAAATGCTTTTGGCAAAGAAGATCACTCCCAGGGCAAAAGAACACAAGCTGATATTATTGTCACTCAAGTGGAGAGAAAGGTGCTTTTGCTAAATCTTCCAGCATGGAGTGAGTTGAGATCCTGTGAAATTCCAAGGGTACATACTCAAGTTCGTCTTTCCACAATGGGAAGAATTCCCCTCCTCTAATTTCACCTGGTCCTCCCAGAATGTTTATTAAAGATGTAGATTTTATATCAGTAGAGAGTATCAAGTAACTTCTTGGAGAGGGCAGGCTTATTTTCAGGACCTATTAAGATTCTTTGTGAAAATTTAAATACCTCTGCCAGGCAAACAAAATCATATCAGGAACCATAGAATTTCATTGCTAGAAAGAGAAATTAGATTAACCAACCCTCACTCCTTTCCTAGAAACCTCAATAAAATAGAAGTACATTTCAACAGTCTCCTACTTCTGGTCTGAAGGGGCCTCACAAGAAATCTAAATGAAGTTATACTAAAGAAAGCTATCCTTGAGGAAAGCCCTTCGATCTACATAAATCATATATATTTATATGTAAGAATACATACGAATATATTACATATTAGAAGGCAATGACTGTTTAAAATCAAAACAGCCAGAAAAAATCCAGTGGCAGAAACCATAACAAGTTCAACATCGATAAGCTCCAGCCCCTTTAAACATCCTTGTCTTTTATTAATATTTAGTAGAAATGTGTAATTGCAGATGTGTGCTAGGTTGGCATTTTATGTCGGGAGGCGGGCAAAGAAGACAGGTTTATTACAGCCATGAAATATTAAACAAGCACCAAGAACAGTAGTAGTATGTCCCAGACTAGCCAGGGAGCAGGCAGGCCCTAATGTCAGCTGCACAAAGGGGGCTCCTGTTTATGTTACCCCTGATTAACACCTGTGAAGTTTTGGGTTACATCTTCCGGAGGCTGCAAAAGTCACATGAAGGCATGCAACCCTTGCTGGATGATTTCACAGGGAAACGGGAAGGCAAGGCTCCTTGCCTTCCCCAAACAAGTTTGAGTGAGCCTTAAAATTCTCTCCACAGAGAGAGACGAGCTGGGGAAACCACTCAAAAAAAACAGCACTAGGACCCCCCCTTCCTCCCCCAAGTCTGCCCCATGTCTAAGGTAACTCAGTGTTCAACTCCTCCCTGCCTTAAATTTCTCAGCGCTCCTTACTATGTTCTGACTAGAACGCTGAGGGAAGCATGAAATTCCAAAAATTTCTCCCGCATCACTGTAAAAATGTCATAATTCCAAAAAGGGCAGGATTGCATGCAGAGCAAATACAGAGACCTCTGCCATTTCAATGTATGTGAAAGAGCGTTTCTAGACTGCTCGGATTTTAACATAGAGAGCAACCAACAGAATGGAAGTTTGGCAAGGATAAACTTATAACAGAATATGGTTAACTCGAGTTTTGAAAATCATCAGGAAGGGGCAGGAGGAGGGGGAAATATACTTCTTCAGACTTAAATAACCTTCATCTACAATGTATCATTATTTCTCCTTCTGTTTGGAAATTCCTCCATAGCCACACACCCATTACAAAGATAGGTGGACGATTTTGCAAACTGATTTCAAAATTTATGTAATCCTCACTGATTTAAGAGATGTCTGAATGGGCCCAAATTCAGGCTGATGTTTTTTTTCTTTACGCAACCTCACCCTTCCCCCACCCCAACTTTGTGCAAACAGAACCTCATGATGAGCTGTAGAGTTTCATTATATAAAAGTTGTTTGGTGGGTTGATTAAGTAAAGTCAGGGGAAGCATAATTTGGAGAGGCTCGCTTCCCTGGTAAAAAAAAAAAAAAAATCATAATCACATGTCATTTTGGCCTAGACTTTTCTAGAACTGCAACTTGCCAGTCGAGTTCCCTCCCCTCCAAAGGACATCTAAACCCCATAAGACAATCTGGGCACGTCCCAGTGGCTACACGGCTTGTGCAGGTCTGAAGACTCGTTCGTTCTCTCCAATCCAAGCACGGATCATTTTGTTAAATACCGACTCGTATTTTGTCATTGGAGCGAAGAATTTCAAAAACGGTGTTAATATTTAATCACATTAGTACTGGCGTGTTTTACGGTGTGACAAAATAAAATATCATTACAAAAATGGGCTTTGCCTGAAGGGGGGGAGGGGGATGGAAGAAAGTGTGTGCCAGTGCTGGAACCTAGAGGAGATATGATTCAAAGCCGCTGGACACCATTGCTTCGTGGCTGATGGGACCATATAGGCATGTGTTTAAGGAAAAGCGGGACATTTTACTTTAATTTTTTTTACTCTCTTTCGAAGTGGCACACTTCACTCTGATTTTCAGCCAGGGGACTCGGGGGCCTGTTGAAGGCTCTGTGTACCTATTTATACAACATGTGCAGATGGAACTGTAGGGTGTTATCATAATGAAAAGTTTAATCTTCCTTATTTACTACCAGTAAGGGAGCAGCAATTGGATGCAGATACCTTATAAAGCCTTAACTAGCAGCCCCAAGGCTGCAGAAGCTGCGAGTGACCTCAATTCAGGGCTTTATCTAGGAAACTGTCCTTCCCACATCACAGAGTGGAAAACAAAGGAGGTCAAGTGGGTGTCCCTGCCGATGCCTCTAAGGCGGTCAGACGGGCAGCCTGTTCCTGAAGGAAGTCCCTGTCCTCCTGTGAGCAGGGGAGGGCTTCGTTGAGCTTACAGGGGAAATCAACCATTAAGTGACTAGCATCTGTTTCCAAAAAAATATTTTCCCTCATCTGACTGCGATAATGAAACAAGCAAAACATTACATTTCTTTAATGACATTTCTTCATTCAGAGCCTGCATCTTTTCATTTATTGTTTTCTGTAAAGAAAAAGTAGTTGGATGGACTGGGAAGGGAATGGTCCGACACCTTAAAAAAAAAACTCATTAAAACCACCCAATTCCTCGCCACCTAAGGTCCTTCAAAATACCCGCCAGCAAAGTGCTATGGGTTTTTCGTTCTTAATTCTCTAAATATAGTTCTCTTTTTTAACTTTTCTCACCCCATTTTGGCCAATATGTTCTTAATTACTAGGGGGATGGGAGAAGGGGGAGGAGAAGGGGCAGCCAGGCCAAGCCAGGTAGACGTGACAGAGGCCGGGATTTGTACTAACCAGGTATCGATTGGCGGGGATCGAGATGTTGTGTACAAGAAAATAAAAGAGAAGGGGGGCCCCGAGCAAGCAGGATGCTGCGTCCAACTCCATTTTAAAAAGGAAGGAGGAAAAAGCGGGGAGAAGAAGTGGAGGGTCCCAAACTAACCAATTTATGGCCTTGCCTGGGAGAAGCCTGGAGAATGCTGATGCTGGCCCCAGCGTCTGCTGTGCATGCTAAACACCCGGCTTCAAATGAGAGAGCGGCGTCCCGGGCTGGGCAGTAGGCGAACAAAGAGAAAAGCAGCGCGGCCGCATTCATGAATTGGAAAACCGAAGCGGGAAAGCTACCGGGGACAGGCGCCCTGAAAGCCGAGTTCTGAGCCACCCAACTCCAGCCACACTTCCCCTCCCCCTCCTCCCCCCCATCCCACTCTCCTAAAACCCTCTCCTCTCCTTACACCCAGGGTCAAGAGAGAGCAGGATTTGGGGAGGACTAGGAAAAACGAAGGCAGAGGAAAAGAACTCTAAGGAGGGCAAGAATCAAGGGATCTATTTTTTAAAGACGCAGTGAAATCGCCAGCCCCTGGCTTCATGGTAATATTCAGCCTGATGAAACCAAGGGGATTCTACTAGGGTTTCAAAGAAAAAGGTATGAATGGGGGAAAAAAACGATGTTACCTAATTTTAAGAAGCCATTATCTGTGAAAGGAAAAAAAGGCCCCATTAAAATAAAACGGATATCTACTGCAGCCCAGTCTTCTTTAGGTTAAAAAAAAAAAAACTCTTATTAACTGCAGCGGTGGTTCATTGACTAACCCCTACCCCACCCACCTTAAAAAGCCTCCAGGCCTGGTGGGGAGGCACTGCTTAGAATGCAAAGGAGAACTGGGACGGGACATCTGTCACCAAAGCCAGGGAGATATTGACAAACACGGGTCCTTTGTGTCTTAAGAATGTATATCCATATCCCCATACACAAATGATACCCTGGTTGAGTAGTCTGGCCTCTGCTAAGCAGACCCCACCCCAGCCCCAGCCCCCTATTAAATATCAAGGAGATGCACCCGGAAAAGACTGCCTGCCTTCTACAACCCCTACGGATCTCCAGTTTTTCAATGAAACTCTAACAGTTAAGAAGAGACAAAACAGCTACTCATTAGGAACAAATGTCAAATTAGGTGTTTTCTCTGAGTGATGCTGCCTGCCGACAGCAGAGCTAGGAACTTTTTTTTTTCTAAAAATGCTGGCACAGGAAAGGGAGCTGGAGGTTGACTGACTAGGAAACGGTGGGGAGGCATTAACACAACTTCCCAGGTGTCCTGTGGGGGGGGGCACACAATTCCTAAAAAGTGGAACCAGCTTGAATGTTGAGGGTGATGAAAGGTCTTAGTGTGAAAAGAAAGGCTCCTAGTTCTCCAAGCACCCAGCAACTTGGCTAAAACTTGACGGGGGAGGAAACTCTACAATAGTTCCACAGGGCTGCCATCTAAGTTCTTACTGTGGAACTAGAATCTACCTGGCAGCACCTAAAGGGTGAGAGGGGGTCCACTCACAGAGGCCTTGGTGTATCCAAAGGAAGAGTATCCAGCTCTGAGCTGGGCATTAAGAAGGCCCTGTGCTATCCTACCTAACCCCAAAGGACCCTCCCCTTTCATGGAGCCTTCAAAGTGGGGGCTAAGGCCTGCAATGTGGGTGGGGTGGGTCTCTGGGAGGTGTGAAGGGAACCAGAACGAGCGCATATACCTTCTTTGCTGTTGGGGTTCTGGGGTTTGGCCTTCTCCCAGGGCGCCAGCGTCTTGTCGTCGTCTGCGCTGTCCACCAAGGTCTTGTCAGTCGGCATGTACCAGGTGGCGCTGTGCTCTGCCATCAGCGAGTCCAGGTCGATGGTGCTCATGGCGCTTTTGACAGCCTCGGAGCAGCAGCTGCCCAGCTCGCTGTCTCCATTCTGCGCGCCCGAGGCCCCAACGGCACACTCACCCTTCTTGCCCCCCTTGAGTCCCAGGGGCTGGTCCTCAGAGATGCTGAACTGCTGCCTCTGCAGCTGGATCTGTGCCTGGAGGATCTCCAGGGGGTGGATCTCATCGGGTGGTGGTGCACCGCTACTGCTCGTCGGGGTCCGGACTTGCTCTAGGCCAGGCGTGCCCGGATGGCCATTGCCCCCTCCGCCAACATAGCTGTCAGGGGTCGAGGTAGAGGTAGACATGATGCCCAGGCCGAGAGGGGGCGGGGGTGCCTTCGGTCCGTGTTCCCCTGCTCCCACCCCCCGGGGAGGGAGTTTGGGAGAGCCTGTCACCAGGGGGCTCCTACTCGCTTTGGCCAGGGCCGGGGGGTTGTCGGAGCTGGATGACACCTCGTCCTCGTTGGCATAGCTCGTGCTCACCTCGTCTGAGGCATACTCGCCCACGTGCGGGGAACTACCGTCCGACTTGGCCCCGCCGTCCAGGGTCGCCATGAGGTCTGGCTGGTCCCCCAGGAGCAACTCGGCCCCCTTCCCCCACGACGGTGACGTGAGCGCTTTTTCGTGAGGCGTCGGCGCCCCACGCGCATCTCCCGTGGAGCTGCCCCCGACAGCTGCGCCTGGTGCCTGCTGCTGCCCTGGACTCACCCCCGGAGCGCCCCCGCTGTCCGGGGCCGCGGAGTACTTGTCGAAGAAGGTCCCGGGGCTCACGTGACCACTGTCCCTTTTTCTGCGACCCCGTCCCCGGCCGCCGCCCCCGGGGACCGGCTTGCCGTCGTTCCCCGACGTTGATTCTAGGGTGTAGTTGGGGGAGAGGCTGGTGCCGTCCCCCTGGGCGGGTGGGTTGGGCGGCCCCGAGGCTTTGGAGCCGCTGCTACTGGTCCCTGACGGGCCTCCGGGCCCTGGGGCCCCAGGAGCAGTCCCTCCAGGGAAGTAATCCGAGCCCGGGTTGCCGGCCACGGCCGCGCCGTCGGTCTCGTTCTGGCTCAGTTTCCTCTTCCCCTCGGGCGGGTTCTTCTTGTTGAAGGTCACGTTGAGGTTGGGGGCCCCGAGGCTGGCGATCATGTTCTGGCAGGCAGTGGAGAGCGCAGCCAAGCAGCTCTGGCCGAACAAGTTGTCCTTGGAGCTGGGCTTGTTGAAGGAGCCCAGCGAGAGCGCGCCCAGCTTACTGGCCGAGGAGCGCTGGCTGGGCTGGAAATCAGGCTGCGGCGGGTATGCGCCCCCGCCGCCGCTGCCCGTGCTGCCGCCGCCCCCGCCCGCACTCGGGGGCGAGTTCACGCCTGGGCCGCTGTGCGGCGTGGCCTGACGGTTTGCCGCGCCGAACGGGAAGCCAGGCTGGCCCCCGAGCGCGGGCGCCGTGAAATCCGGCGGCGGGGGCCGGCGCTCCGAGGGAGCATTTGGCAGCCCTACCCCAGCCCCAGGCGATTGCAGTTGGCCCAGGCCGGCCAGGCTGCCCCCGAACTGCAAGCCCGGGGAGGGCAGCGCGGGCACGTGGCCCTCTCCGGGCATCCTCAGCGGCTCTTGCAGAGGGCCCCGGAACAGCACCCCGGAGCCACTGGGCGGAGGGGGCGGCGCCAGCCCCGGGTCGTGCGGGCCACAGTCAGCAGGCAGGCCCGAGCCGCCCATTCTGCGGGGCAGCAGGTCACCCGGCGGCGGGTGCGGACCTGGGAACCACGCGCTCTCCTGCGCCAAGTGCGGCGCCTGCTGCTCGAAGGTGCCCAGGCGCCCGGCGCTCGCGCCGCTGCTTTCGCGCTCAAAGTTCGGCTGGGCCAAGCCGCCCACCGGGCCGCCGTGCACCAGGCCGCCCTGGCCCACGTCCCCGGGGTGGCCTAGCTGGGCCAGGTTGGGCTGGCGCAGCCGCTGCTGCTGATTCCGCGACGCCATCTGCTTAATCATGAGGGCCGCGTTTTGGCGCTGCTGCTGCTGCTGCTGCTGTTGCTGCTGCTGCTGCAGGGACTGGTGGTCCGGGGCCGGATGCTGCAGGGGTGGCCCCGAGGGGAAGCTGTCAGGCACCGGCGGCGTAAACTCGCCGGGTAGGCCTGAATAGGCGGAGGGCGAGAGGTGGTTGTCCAGAGCACCGTTGTGCATGTTGCCGTTCCACGAAGCGCAGCGGTCCACTCCCGCGCTGCCGGGGAAGTCAAAGCGCGGCCTCTTGGCCACGTTCATGTAGGGGGGTGCGTCGAAATGCTGCAGCCGCTGGTTGGGCGCCTGCTGCGGAGGGGGGTGCTGCATGTTAAACACAGGCTCGGAATAAGGGTGCATGCTCCGGTTCTCCAGCCGGTGGATGGGGTACTCGAACTGTGCATGTTGGCTGGGCAGCATGGGGCCCCCGTCCTGCAGGCCGCCGCTGGGCGTGCCCGCCTCGCCCTGCTGGGGCCGCGGGAGCGCAGGCGGACACGAATTTTGTCGGACCAGAAGCCCGGGCGGCGGGGGCTGCTGCGGCGGCGGCGGCTGCGGCTGCTGCGGCTGCTGCGGGGGCTGCTGCTGAGGCGGCGGTGGGGCCTGCTGGGGAGGCTGCATTAACGGGTGTCTGGAGCCTACTCCGGGCTCCAAACCCACGGGCATCTTGCGGGCCCCGCCGAACCTCTCGAAGAACACGCCGTGTTGTTGCTGCTGCTGCTGTTGCTGCTGTTGCTGCTGAGCATGCATTTTGGACAACCCCACCATGCCTGCAGCTCTGGGCATTGCTGAGGCACCCGAGAAAGAGCCCCCGGGAACCTGGCGACCCGCCGCATAATGAGGCAGCTGCCCCTCAGAATCGGAGGGCGAAAACATGTCGAAATGTCCCGAGGGCGCCTCGCCCGAGTAATTGTATTCCAGCGAGTCGACGGCTCCTTGGTTCGCCACCCTCCGGGGCTCCAGACTGTGAGAATCCGAGCCGCTGGAGGCGGCCAGGCCGTGGAAGGAGGCGGCACGATTAGGGCTCTGGTCCAGCGGCAAGCATGGGGCAGGCACGGCGTGGCCCGAGGCGCCCGAACTGTGGAAGTCTGGGAGGTTCCCAGGTCGCTGCGGGCCGAAGGTCTCGGGCCCCTGGCTCTCCGCCATGTGATCATAACCCTCGGCGAAGGGCGGCTGGCTGCCCAGGCCGCCGCCGGCGCCGCCGTAGCCGAGCAGGCGACCCCCGTGCAGGCACGAGGCTCCTGGGTCCGGGCCGCCGAAGTTGCCCCCGAAGTGGGGGTGATGCTGATGGGGGTGGTGGCTTCCCGGGTGGCCGTGGTGCGGCTGCTGGCCTCCAAAGAATCCGTGCACCGGCTGCGCCTGCAGCCCCCCCGCGTGCAACTCCGAGTGGCCGCGCGCGTGGAAGCCGTAAGGCTCCATGTTCATGCCCAAGATCGGGGGCTCACCCAGCGCGCTCATGGCAGGGTCCACGGGGCCAGGGGGTCCCCCAGCGTGGAAAGCCGGGGCCTTAAAGTGGGTGTTCATGCTTAGTCCGGCCTCGTTAAAGTTTCTCTCGCCCTGGCCAGCGTTCCTGCTGTTGATCTGGGGCTCGAATTGGTCCAGCCCAAACATACTTGGCGGGGGGCGGGGGGATCAATAGGGCATGACAGCCTGCTCTCCGCCGCGCACCGCCGGCCAGCTACTCGTTCCGGCCCTGGGTCGGGCGCTCCGGGACAGTCAGCACCGCAGGGACGCAGCGCGCACTGCCACTTCGCCTGGCTGGGGGCTATCAGCTCCTATCCCGAAGCTCTGGCTCTGCCCCACGCGGGCCTCTTACATCTTACGGCACAGCGGGGCTTCCAGGAGCCGGGTTGGGGGGCCCATGCCCCGAGTGGGGAGGGAACGGAGCTGCAGGCGAGTGAAGACAAAAAGTTAAGTGGGGGGAAAGAAGGTGGGAAGAAGGGAGGGAGAGCAGAGCAATCACCTTCTTGAGTCCGATCGGGTTGGGTGGGGAGCCTCAGGACGCCGCCCGAAACCTCCCGGAGTCGGTGGCGGAGCTGCTAAGGAGCTGGACAGGGAGACCCTTCAAAACCGTGGTGGCGCCGGGGCACGGACTGAGCGGTTCCTCCCCCCTCCCCACGGAGTCCCTGCGCTCCGCAGCCGAGCCTCCGCCAAGCACGGTCCGCTCTCAGTCCCCGTTGGCCCCAAGCAAGCGGCTACAGCTTCTTCAGCGGGTCGGAGGACTGGAAGCTCCGCTCGACATCACCGGTGCTGGCCCCCGAGCGGAGGGCGCAGGGTCGCTGGAGAGGCGGCGGACGCTCGGGGTTGGAGCCGAAGGTTGGGGGAAGGCACGGATCCCCCGCTCCGCGGCGGGTGCGCTGCACCCAGCGCGCCGCGACCCCGCGCGCTGCTTCTCGGCCACGTCCGCCGCCTGCCGCTTCTATCCTCAGCTGTTCGGTCTCTGAGTTCGCTGGGGTCTCCGCGCACGAGTCCAGGCGCCGAGAGGCAGCGAGACGAAGGGTTAGGTCGCTCCAAGACTCGGGTTCCCTGCCTTCGCGCCGAGGTGCTTCGCGAGTCCCCTTCGGACTCGGGGTGGGGGCGTACGCCGGTTGGGGGCCACGCTGGGCGAACAGGCTAAGGCTTTCCGGCTAAGCTCTCGGAGCCCGAAATGGGGGTGGGGCGGGGCAGCTCTGGGGGGTCTGTGCACCCCTCTCCTGGCTAGCGGGGGGGGGGCTCTGCGTGGGGCGTTCCGAGGGTCTCAGCTCCCCTCTCTGTGTCTGCTTCTCGCCCAGCGCCGGGAGAAGCAGCAACAAGTTTTGCATTTCAGCAATCAATTTCAGCCATTACATTTGCACCAATCAGCGCAGCCCGAGCTCCGAGTCCGGGGCGGGGCTCGCTCTTAAGGTGGTCCTGGGTGCTGGCTGCTGAGGCCCCCGCCACGAACCCGCACTTCGCCACCTCCGGGGTCCCCCGCGTGGGTTTCGCTTCCGAGTCGGGCGCCAGTGCGCTGGGGGGAGCGCCCTGGCCTCCCAGCTCATCAGGCTGGAGAGGGCGCGGGAGAAGAATGGCGGGAGCTTGGCTTTGTTCACCCCCCTTCCCACTCAGTTACCAACTCCCCACCCCCAACTGAAGCGAGACCTGCGGGGTGGACAGGGGGCGGGGAGGTGGGCAGTAAACGGTGCGGGGCGCTCAGACAATGGGGTCGCCAGGCAAAGCTCCTGGACTCGCCACGGAAAGTCGCCAAGTGTCGACCTCGCATCAGCCCTGGAAAGAACCATTGGCTCTCCACCGCTGTCTGCTTGCTAGTGCGCCCAAGTTAGCCGGCCCTCGGATTTTCCTGGAGGTGAAAGCAAGCGGGGAACCCCGAAGTTAGGGTTTTCCTCGAGAGACACAGGCGCTTGCACGTTCCTCTCTTACTAGGGCGCGCACAATTTTTCCCTAACCGCACTGCCTGAGGTTCCCAGTCGCCAGCTTCTGCCCGGAGGAGCCATAACCACTCGGTCACTTTATGTGGGGCGCATCGGCTGAGCCCAGCGTCAGAGCGGCGAAGCATCTAGCCGCCCAGCGAAGACCTGCGCTCACAGGACGTATTGGACGGCCTCAGCACCCTACTCAGCACTCGGGCCAAGGCTCAGGCCCTCTCTGTGCGCGAGGTTGGCCTCCTTAAGAGATCAATTAAACTGAAGAGGCCAAGGAACGGAATTGGGTTGTGATACTAAAATCAATAGGAGTAATTTAATATCTGCCCTGCTCTTTATGAAATATTTATCCCAATAATCTTAGTTAAAATGTTTAGATCTTCCTGATCCCCACTGAGGCTGAAATCTATCTTGCAATTAGAAGTTGGGAGTTAGAGGTGATGGAGAGTAAAGGAGGTGTTTATTCTGAGTGCGTGTGTGTGTGTGTGTGTGTGTGTGTGTGTGTGTGTGTTTTCCTCCCTAAAGTGTGCATAGGAAAGGAAGGGGGAGAGAGCCTTTAATTTTCCTTGCCATAAAATAGCAAAAGGCAATTTTGCTAGCCGACTAACATTCTTAGGAGAAGGGGAGAAAAAAAAAAAAAAAGAACTTTCTTTGAAGTGCCCCTGATATCGCTATTAAATCTAAATAAAATTAAGCATGGTGTATAAAAATGCCTTTTCCCCCCACAAAAGAAAGTGTTTATCACCCAAGTCTGTCTAGCATTTGCTAAATTACGCATGAAATCTGAAATGAAATAAACGTTATAATAAAACCAACCCCTGAGCCCTTTTTATTTAAAAACCTCAGATTAAGCACTCCACCAACACGGGAGGGAGTTAAAAAGTTACCAGCTCAGGCAGGCGGATTCATTGCTCCCCCGAGTTGCTGCTGGGAAGACAGATGCTGGCTTTTCCTAAATACTGTGAAAAAGGGCTCTCAACTTAGGGTGAGAGACGCAGGAAACAGGGTCCCGAGAAACTCCCAAAGAAAATGACCCCCCCCCAAAACAAAGATTAAAATGCAAACAATAAAAACCTGCAACTTTAAAACTCAAAGAGCTGAAGCAAGCTCAGATCCAAGGCTCTTCGAGGGACCTCCCTGTTGTGGATGTCGACGGATATTTTTTTCTTTTTGAAATTAAAAATGAAAATTACCCCCACCAAAAATGGGGTCCATAAATAAGTATCGGGAAGAAGTATTTGTACAGGGCGGTGGAGTTTTAAAAGGATTTTTCTGCAGGATCAGGTTGTTGGTCTGTGATTAAATATTGATTTTGTGTAATTAGTTTTCATGTGAACTATCCTCTTGCTGATAGCTTAGAGGTTTCAGAACTAGAAAAGAAATGGAATTGGACATGGAAATTATTACTTAGCAAAGTGACAGGGAAGTGAGAGCTGGAGAAAAGACTGAGGCTTGGCTGATTTAGGTACAAAGAGATAAAGGGTCTGGGTAGGCCTCCAGTGACACCTCCCCACCACAGGGCCCCCAGCAAGAACCTGGTAGACACTGAGACTCTCAAACAGGATGGGGACCAGTAGGGGGAATGGTTGCTAGGAGGAAGACCCCTGTGTGGGCAACGGCCTATGCAAAGCCATGACACCTGGTCACATACCTGGTCCAGAGTGGTAGTTTCTGAGTCATGAGTGTCTCAAGAGGCAACTATGTGAGGAGTCTTATTCCCTTGTGTGTCTGGAGGGAATAGAGCAAGTAGGACCTATCTGGAGGCCTGGGTGGGCCAGGGCAGTGGGACAAATGGCCCACAGACCTGTAGTCTGGGGACACCCTAGTCAGGATGTGCTCTAGGCTGCAGCATGACTTCACATGGGGCTGGGCGGGGGTCTCCTGAACACCTGGGCAGGTTTCCTGTGGAATAATTCTGTGTGCTCCAGGGAGGGGTGTGTGGGAATATTTTTCTGGGGCTTTTTCCAAGAGTTCAGTCTACAAGGTGTGTGAGTGTCTGAAAGGAGGGTGTGTTTCTGCTCAGGCTGTGTGTCTGGGTCACCTTTCCTTAACATTTACGAATGTTGTGTGGGTGTGTGGCATGTACCTGCATTTGTGTCTTCACCCGTGTGGAGATGGCAGGACATCTGTGTGTGTTTGGGTACATACCTATATGTGTGTGTGTTCCTGTATCTCTGGGTGTCTTTGTGAGTGTTCCTGGGGAAAGTGTACTATCTGTCCTCCAACTCCATGCTTCTCTGTAAGTATGCCTCTGTGTTTGTACCTGCGTGTGAAGCTGACTCACACCTTGTTGTACCTGAGACTCTGCTCACATGTGTCTGTTTTCTCTGCAAATGTGAGAGTGTGTGCCATTGCCCGTGCCCATCTGTGCCCCTAGATGTACCGCCCTGTGCGCCTCCATGGTGTGGGTGCCCCTGTGTGTGCCTGTGTGTGCATTCCGCCTGCAAGGGCCCACGGTTTCTTTGGAACAGACACATTGCCCCCTAGCGCTCAGACAAATTCAGTCCCTGCCTACCAGCACAGAGCCGGGAGCAGCAGAAGCCCTAGGCTTTTCTCCTTTTCTCCTTTCTTCAGCAGTCCTTTGAGGGATTCTGAATGCACTGGCACAAGTCAGATGGGGCCACCTGAGTGGAGTAAGGAGGACACACAGCTGGGCTGAGGCCCCGGAGCTGAAGAGGGATGTTCCAAGCTGGTGACAAGTAGATAGCTGCCTGGAATGGCCTCCAGTGAGCTACCTGGAAACCTCCCCACGGGTTGTTGAGAGCCTGGCATACCTGAGCCAACCCAGGAGCTCCAATCCGCTAGTGAGCTTTCATTCAACAAAAACACGAAACAACTGATACTCACACCCTTTAGCCAAATGCACAGCCTTTATGCTGACACATCAGGCCCCCAACGCCAACACGGGTACACACACACACATCCATAGTGGGTGTATCCACACACTGGCTACCTGGTATCGAAGGCTCCCTCTGTGTCAGGCTTGGTGCTTCATATTCAGAGTCCCGTTTCATCCTCCCAGCAACCCCATAAGGTCAGGACTCTGAACCCATTTTACAGATGAAGTCATGGAACCTTAGACTAATCAAGTGACTTTGTCAAAGTCAAAGCGTGGCAATGCTGGGGCTCCAAACCAATTCACCTGACACTGAGGCCTGGCTCTTAACCACTGCCTGCTCTACCTGAATGTGATAGTTCAGATAAAGCGCTTAGCACTGTGAAGGGAATATAGTAAGTACCAAGAAATGTTTGCTACGTTTATCACTACTGCCATTATTATCATTATTAATATTTATGTGATTTTGATTAGCATTATTCTGTGTCCCTCTATCAATCACACAAACATGAGAAACTAGCACACACACTTATGTCCTCAGCCTTCTGCCCTTTACACCCTCTAGAGCTTGAACACTCACTAGAATCACAGCAGATCAAGTCTCTGTTGCACACGGAGTCCCTCAGGCCTGGAGAGAAACTTACATCCCCTGATGCCTGGAATAGAAGGTCCACAGAATGACTCCCTCTCACGAATCAGTGGTAGAAAGGACATGAACTTCAGTTTACATACCCAGGTTCAAATCTTGTCTTCACCACTGCTGATCTGGCATGACCTTGAACAAAATCCTTTCCTCCTCTGAGCCTCGGTTTCCCCCGTTGGAAAGGAGAATCATAGCCAGTTCATATGGAGCATAAGGATGGGAGACGATGTTTAAAAAGTGGCACGGAGCGTGGCAGATGGCAGGCATTCATTAAATGGTTGCCTCTCTTATTAACATTATTATCATTATTATTTCCTCTGTGTTTAGATCCAGGGAAGTGGGGAGCAAAAAAAATGATCCCAGAGAAATCAAGTTTATTTGACAAATCGGCCTTGGCTCACCAGCCAACCTTTGGGAGAAAGGATGACTCAGGTTTGGCTCTATCCAGGGAGCACCCAAGGCTGAAGCCTCTGGGGAAGGCCCAGCTATGGCTGGGACAGAGTATAGTAGAGGTTGAAAGGGATGAGGCCCTCATGAAGCCACTGGCATCTAGTTGCTAAGCAACAGCATCCCCTCCCTCTCTCTATGCATCATGCCTGATATCTTTGTGGGTCTCTCCTCCATCTGTCCACTGAATAAATACATACTGAGTGCCTACTGTGTGCCAGGGCTCAGGCTGAGAACTCAGAAAAAAGTGGAAGATCCGATCCCAACCTTCAATATGGGAAACCTAGTATTCTATTCAAAAAAGACTATATTACACACTATAGGGATAAAATAAAGGTGTTGAGAGGGAGGACTAATAGAGAAAGGTTCCCAGAGGTGGGTTTTGTAGGTAGAATAGGAGTTTAACAACCAGAACAGGGTCCAAGGACTTCACAAGCAAAGAAATCAGATAAGATGAGCTATGGGAAGGTGCAGGTAGCAATAGGACAGGGAGGGG